AAAGAGTAAATTTTGGGATCGTGAAGTCAAGTAAACTGGAATTTCATTTTCGTCTTCCTGTGTGAGTCGGTTAATATTCTGAATATTGCTGTGGGACCCAGAGAGAGAAGGCAACGTAAATTTTCCTTGTGTCTTTCTATTTGTTCCTAAGTGACAGAAGTTGGAAGGCAACGTAAATTTTCCTTTCTATTTGTTCCTAAGTGACAGAAGTTTCTTGAGGCTGGGATTTGTGCTGATTCCAGCTACTGATAGAGCTGCACTGACGCCAAACCACAAGCAGAGGTGTGGAAAGCCGGGTTTGCACCACCGTGATTTATCACAGCTCCCGATGCAGGAGCTATAAATCGGAGCTTCCCTTCCCTTTTAATTGAGGCAATGGATTTGCAGCAGTTTTTTGGTGGGGAAAGGTCTGTGCCTCCAGGTTGACAGTATGCAGAGACAGAAGATGGCCCAGAATTCACCTTGTGTTGCAGTAGGTGGGCAGGAGGTCTTACGGCTGCAGAACGTGCCTACCGCTAGGCCATCCAGATGTGCCATCCCAGATGTGCAGTGCGGACCCTTCCCGCTTTCTGCCTCTGCGTTGTGGCAAACGAACTGGTGGAGCAGATTTGAGGCGCGGACCCTTCCTGCTTTCTGCCTCTGCGTTGCGGCAAACGAACTGGTGGAGCAGATTTGAGGATAAAGGCTCACCTGGTGCATGAGGTTGGGATTTAGCCGATTTCTGAGTTTGGTGTCTTCTCCGTGAGACCTATCCCTCTCTCTTTATTTTGCTTGACAGTTGTACGAGTCGTACATCAACTCATATGAGTTGTGTGACTACGTACGTGCATGTTCGCCACAGACCCAACGTGCATGTGCGTAGTCATCCCCAGTTAACACTGTTAAAATTCGAAGATGCTTTGAAAGCAAGTGGTTTCGTCTTCTGTTCCGCTGCTTTGACTTGGCATCATGGGATCATGGGCAGGCAGTGGCTGGTGGGATGTTTGTTAAGGCTTGGAAGAAAGGCTTGTTTCTCTCTCACTGTTATTTTCATGCAAGACACCGTTTTCTGTTTAGGAGGATTAGAGGATATGCATTAAACAGTGTTAAATATGCTGAGGCAGTTGATGTTTACAGCCCTTGTAGAATTATTCATTAAAATATTAACTGCTAGACAGCCTCTTTTTTTTTTTTAAATTCAGTGATTTAGTAGCCCTCTTAAAAATCATGTTGTGTGATTCAGACATTCAAAGACTAAATAAGACAAAACAAAACCACCAAAATTACCCACAAAAGCACTAATTCTTGGGTTTACATTTCTTAAATTGTCATGGACATGACATGCCTAAGAAATTCAGACGGATTTGTGGAGCGGGTGAGCTGTAAGATTTGACTCAGCTCTCTCCCATCTGCACCAGCAGCTTTCCCTAACACACAGCGCTGGGAAGATCTGGAAGGGGCTGTATCCTTCTCCGGGTTTTTGCAGACAATAGGTACGTGTGCGCACTAAGCTTTGGTTTACAGAAGCTTCTGGCACGAGGACAAGATGTTACCTTAAAGTGCTGGCTCTCAGCTAAACTCTTTTCCCTCCCTGTGCCTTTTTAAAGAGGTTTTTAAGAGGCTCTGGTCCTCTGCGGAAGGACACGGTTGTGTTCTTGTCTATAAACATATTCTGGTTTGCTTCCTTGGGCCCCTTGTGTCCAATTTTCTGGCGGAGCCGGTCAAGTCTGCCATTGCTGCTCTTCTCGCTGTTTAATGTATGCTTTCTCCCGCATACGGTTTTCCACGTCATGCTAATGTTTCTCACCTCTGTTCTGAGCAAACCTACAGGCCTGGGGTGGGTCTGGGGCTCTGCCTTTTCGGTGCCTTGCCTTGCTCCGTTAAAGGTGCCTGTTGGTGTTATTATCGATACGACTCTACGAGGAGCCGAGCCGCAGCTGCACACCTCGTTTTCCATGGGGAGTTATTAGCCAGCGCGGTGTTTGGTCGCGACACGTCCTGGATGGATTTCAGCCGGTGACCCGGAGGCAATCCCCCAGGCCACCGAGCCAGTGACATTTAAAAATTGCCCACTCAAGGTCATTGCATCAATTGTGTTGCCTTTAATTTCGTTTTTGATGAGCTTTTTTCATTTGGTTGTACAGGTAGAAGAGCCCAGCGCAGTGTGACACCGTGATGACAAATGCCTGTCGCGCTTTATGTGCTTCATAGGTACTGATGGTATCTCTGTTGTGTGTTTTTTGTGTGTTTCAGGAAAAAAGTGCCAGTTCAAATGTAAGACTTAAATCTAATAAAGAGATCCCCGGATTAGTACATCAACCCAGAGCAAAGTAAGTTCAATTTTTTTTTTTTTAAAAATCGTAATAAAAATAAACACAGGATTAAGCAGTATCTGTGCGATTCCCAATTACTGCCTAGCAAAAACCAATTGGTGATTCCAGCGGCCCTAAAACCATGCTCAATTTAAATAAAATAAGTAAGGTCACCTGTGTCCCGATACCAGCGACGCAGCCAGGCAGTGCTTGTGCCGGCATCCCCGCAGCATCCTCTCCTTTGCACGGCTAAGATGCAGGGCTTAAAAATGTGTGAGATGCGTCTTGCCGTGCCTTATAGGAGTACCATTCTGTGTTATTTCTCAGCTTTCCATACAACCTACACATAAACAAAATTATAGATGCCCTAGTGTTCCTAAATACTTCCGATTAAGTTTCCAGGGAAGTATTTGCTAGCTCTTGGCTTAGGTTAGCAGCTGTACTGCCTGGGATTAGGAACGGTAAACTTCTTCCATTTAAAACGGTCAAGTTGTTTCTTAAAATGAGGGTTGTTTTGTAGCTGAGAGTTTCTCCATCCTTCGCTCGCAGCTCTGTGCTGTACCCTGGCTGAGATCAGTCAGCGTTACATACGCCATGAAATATTTAACTCCTGTGACAGAGCTGGTTATTGATATTAGTAACTCGTTTCTTATCTAAATCACTGTTACATTTTAATTACTAATTGGATTGAAAATAACAGATTACATGGAGCCATATATCGGGTTCGTAACGAAGAAGTGATAAAGCTTTACTGTTGGATTTTGAACAATAGCGGAAATGCAGTTCTTTATGCCGTGCCTTCGGGGCACTTATTAACTTAAACTTGCTGCATACCAAGTGCGTTGTACACGGTTTCAAGTCTGGAAACTTCAGTAATTTCCTAATCAACTGACAGTATAATTCAGCCTCCTTTCAAAAGGAAAAATCGAGTGCTTGAGCTGTAATTGCAAAGAAATTCACAGTAGGGAGGTGGAGGTAAAATCACCCTTCAGCAAAGCTGTACTTCATTATTGTGGCTTGGTCCTTCCCAGCAGGGTCAGAGATGTATTTAAGGTGCTCTAACAGGAGGCTAATCAGCCTGGGCTAAAAAAGGGACGTTTCTTTTGATGGGTCATCTCTTCTGGTGCATCCACGGCAGAGGGACTGCGTGGGGTCGGGGGTCCATTCTTTCACCAAATTCTGATTTTAAAAGTCCCCGCAGAAATCAAAACTGACCTTCATTCACCAAAAACCCAAAGATGGCGCGTTGGCAGAGGTAAATGTTTCTGTCGCAGTCCTGCAAAAATAAGGAAACGTCTCGGAGAGTTACAGAATGTAACATTAGGTTGTGGGGTAAAACTCCGCTGTTTGCCCAAGCCTCTGCTGTGTACCCAACGTACATGTTTATGAAGTGGCTACATGTGTTTGAGTTGCTAATCGCCAAGTCAGCAAATAGCCGTTATCATGCGCAATTTTTTTTTAAGGTTTATCATCTGAAAACCGTGACGATTCTGACTGCAATGGGGGGTGGCATTGGGTGGAAAAGGGCTACTTAGCTAAAAGGGCAGAAATGAATAGGTAAATCGTTAGATACATCTTTAGAACAGGTGTTATTTCAAAACAAAACATGGACTATGTACCAAATTACAATTTTATGTACAATGGAGGGAGTTTTAAAATGTCGCCTTTATCCCATCTTTTGGCAAAATGTGTTTCATTGGCCTGCCGTGAAACATCTAAAAATGCATTCTCGTGCCTTCTGATGTGCTTCTTACAAGGAAAATTAACCCCATGTTTCTATTTGGGGAGAGCTTTTTCTTCTGAAGGGCTACCCAAGAACTCTGCTTAGATTTGGTGGTTTTTTGACTCTTCCAGTTGTTAACTGTGCCGGTTCCCCACCCTGCCAAGGATTTTATAATTTTGCACAGCTCCTCAAAATACACACTGTGTCAGCATTTGTATGTGTGTGTGTGTGTTGCAGCTCTAAATCGTAGCGCAGTTTTACTGCCCAGCCAAGCTTTTCTGAAGATCACGGCCTGCCAGGGCTTTAGGACCTCCTGTGGGACTTTTCATGTGTATGGCAACACAATACTCCTTTTTCCTCCCTCCCCCTTCCTTTGGTTTCCGTCTAAATTACGGTTGGGGTGAGTCACTACGGTATCATCTCATTTTATTAGAAACTGGATCTGTGATGTCGCAAAGGCAAGAGAGTGTTTCTAGTGCTTGCCTGCCCAGAAAGGGCTGTATTGCCCTAAAGCCCTTCTCCAAGACACCTGAATATGCAGGTGACAGGGTGGGCTGCCCCAAAGAAGCATTTTTCTCCCCAGTCTCAGGTGGAGGTGGGAACCTGAGGGACAGGCAGACAGCTGGGGACAAAAACTCCCACAGCCACTGAAAGGTGAATTGTTCCCTCTCCTGAATTACCAGCTTTAGGTTTTAATGCCACTTCTGAGACCTTCCCTTCTGAACTGAGCCTTCATTTATGTCCAGCATAAGCAAATCATTGTATACGTTCATCCCGATAGTAAGTGAAGTATGAATGCTGAGCTTTGTAGGAAAGTGCAGCGTGTTATTGGGCACTTGGGAAAAGTATTAACTCATTACAGCTGAAAGGGTCATGCCAAGGAAGAGGAGGCTGGGGTGGGAATTCAGCTTTTAGTGTCGGAGAAAATCTCCGAGAGCTGTGTCTCCTTCTCACCCTTTGGCATTGCTGTTAACACTGGCACCAGTCTCCCGTCCTTCCTTTTTAGCATCTCTTTTTGTCCCACGTTGAGTCCCTGGTGCTTTTCTCCAGCCCGCCGTGGGCCCAGGCGCTCCTCCCTGCTGCGGTTCCAGAGGATGCTCCAGCTTCACCTTCCCGAGGGATATCGTTATTTCAGGAAGGAGGCTTTCGCTACCCTCGAACGCAAATAAAGCAGACACGCCCCAAATACCGTCTGCCATGCATCCTCATCTTTGCCTCCTCGTCCTTTCCTTTGCGTCCGACCTTCCTGTATTTTTAGCTTGCAGGTCCCCCTGGGGAAGGACCTGTTGTCTTGTGCCACCATCAGCGTTTTACAGACTATGAATAAGAGTGTTTTCCAGCCCTCTTCACTAACGCAAAATCGTATCACTAACCCTGAGCCTCTTGGTGCTGCAGAATTAATTGAAGTGAATAATCTGCTGGGTCCGCTCAGAGCAGTAAGGACCACCCGTCTGGGAGAAGGAGGACCAGCCTGGTCTTCTAGATGTTCTTGGGTGTTGAGCGCAGAGCCCCGCTGTAGCAGGGCAGGCGGATCTTGCAGTGCGAGGCTTTAACCTCACGTTGTAGGCATCTCATTTTGTGATGGCGAGGTTGGCAGGCTTGGAAGACCTTCTGCCTCAACACAGAGGGGGCTCTCACTGGCCCAAGGGAAGGTAGCGGGCTATTAAGTTTCTGCAGCCTGCCTGGAAAAGGGAATAGTCTCCTTTGGATGCATGTGGGTCCTAGTTACCAGCCCAAGTGTGGCACGCATACACAGAACTAAATGCAATAATTTTTCTGTGGGCAAACAAAAAAAAAAAAGGGAAAAAAAGATTAAAAAATTGTCATTGTAGATGAAAGTGTAAAGTGATTTATTTTTCACGGTGGTGAAAGCTTATAGCTGAGTCCCTCAACAACCCTGGACTGCAGCATCAGTATTTTAAAATGGAAGAAATCCTGTTGGTACTGATACTCTTCCTTTGCCTTTCAGCATGCACATCTCTGAAAGCCAACAAGAATTCTTCAGAATGCTTGATGAAAAAATTGAAAAGGTAAGACACAATAAAGTAAGCGTACCTTTTCACTCAGGGGGTGGACACGCACGTTTCCCGGCTCCATGGGGAGGACAACCAGACACTGCCTGTTGCAGCGTTCCAGGTTCTCCAGTACTTGGAGGGACTCTGGTCCGAGATCCCTCTTGCCGCTCGTTGGTTAGATAGTTCAAGTGCAAAGACGACCAAAAAGGTAAAGAGGTTACAGGAGGTGCTGGAGAGAAACCTGTCTTTTGTGGATACTCACCAGGCTAGAGTAATGGCAAATTAACTCAACGCAAACAGTCAGGATATACATGGATTACTGGATAAAGAAGAAGAGCAAAGTGAGGTTTTATGCCCTTAGTGACTTGATTTTTCATTTAATCTCTGTGGGAGACAACTGGAATCTTAATGCCAGTAGTATGTGGGATACGCTTCTTGTTTCTTACTGAATCTCTTCAAAACAGCTCCAAAGGTTATGAATAGTGTGGCTGTATGTATGGATAACCCTGCCTCAGGACCTCCGCTGAGTAAAATAATGATGCTGGAGATGTTTTGAAGAAGAGGGTGAATAGTTCTTTACGTATCTCATTGTCTTGATAGCAGCTTTCGTGTGTTTCACAAGTCTTTTAAATGAGAATCCCAGCTTCTTTGTGAGATAGTAGTGAATAATTGTACCACAGCATAGATGGGCAACTGAGACTTGAGGAATTAAATGGGCTATTTGGATCAAGTCTAGATCTCAGCCTTTGCTTATACCTTGAGCCGATGTTTGCTCACCAATATACTCTCTACACTTCATATTTTGGAGTGATGCATCTTATTTAATACTTGATATTAAATATTTGCTTCCCCAGTTGGAATAAAATAATTTGTACTCCCCAACTGTAGTTTTGGGTTGCAGAGTAGGAAGGAAATTTTTACTTGGGTGACTCTGAATTTCTGCCATTTTTGCCACACTCCTGGTCTTAGGAGTTGGAGTGCTACAGTGGGTGAATCTCTTATTTGTGGCAAGCAACAAATTTGTTACACTACTCTAAAAAAAAAAATATTCCATGAAAGGAAAAAGTTAGATGCAGGGGAAGAGTGGAAGTGAGGAGGAGTTTGTAGATTCCTGAGAAGAGTATTTCTATACCAGTATTTCACAGGAGTAAGATTTTACTTAACCTATATGCATTTAAAAGTAGTATTTCTACATATCCATAATATAGCTACGTCTCCTTTGAATAAATGCATACACCCTATAAATATTTAGATGCTTTTCCTGGACATACCACCTTCCATAATACCAGCGAAATGGATTTTCCAAAGATCTATCTTATCTACATACCAGACCATCTGATGGCTGTATCTAACTATGAAATGAGGTTGGTTTTTGTTTTTTGAGATTTGTTTCGGGACAGTAATACCATTCATTCACCAGCTGCCACATTGAGACGCAGTTGACCGTGTCTCCTCGCTGTTTGGACCATGCTCTCAGATGCTTGCAGGTGTTCTGCAGGGCTCTTGTACTAATTTATCTTCTAGATCAGGAGACTGCCTACTTAGAGGACATACACAGTTTTATCTGTCAAAGGGAGCAAGATGGCTCCCGTGCATTTCAAGCTGCTGACAGTTGATGGGATTGGCAGGAGTTAATGCGCAGCTGAAAATGGGATTTGCTTTCTCTGGGGACCTCCTGTGCCTGAGGAAATAGTCTTCCTAAGAGAGCTTTTGGGCTTTTTATATTAATCTTTGCTCGCGATACATTGTTTTTCTAGGTATCTGCCACAAGTGCCAAAAAGATTGGAAAATATGAGGGGTTTTGTTTGATCCCTAAATAGCATTTTGAGTCCCTTCTCCAGGGAAATGGGGGACAGCAGTCAAACAATTAAAAGAATTGTATCACTGAGCAGCTCACCAGTTACGGCTGAAATAGTCTGCAGAAGTGGGGGGGTGTTGCCTACAGTTGATGAGGTCCCAAAACATGTTGTAATGTTCACGTGGTAATCGTGGCCATGAGTGGCGTTGGGTTTGTAATGGAGACACGCTGTCCATCGCTGACTCCATGGGCTATGTCTACAGAAACTCTGCAGTCAGAAGCAAAACATCCCTCAACTTGCATTGAAATCCCAAGGGGTGTTAGGTCACCTAGTACAAATGAGTAACAACAACTCTAATGTGTGCGCTGCGAATTAGAGAGGAAAATTAAATGGGCGTTTTGGACTCAGCAAAACGATTAAATGGACAGGCAGGTCAGCTAAAATAAAATTTCTGCAATCAAAGTGTGAAATGGGAAGAACACAGGCTGATGTTTTAGCAGCTGAAAATATGAAGTATTTCTGAATCCTGGCGATCAAAAAAAGCCTTAATGAAATGGTCTGGAGAATTTCTCTGAAAGTCTAGCCCCTGTCGGTACCCAGCACGTGCCCGTACGAAGCTGAACTGCCAAATGCCAACCAAAGCTAAAAACCAGAATGTCAACCCCAACGCATGGAGCTTCTGTCTACCAAAATTCGGTGTCAAAACACTGTGAGGCATTCGGAGGGAGACATCTGTTCCTGTCTCTGCGTGAGTGTCTGTCCCTGCTCGGAGGGCTAGAGCTGAACTTGCATGTATGGAACCACGTGTGATTATGGTAATTCAATTCATGGGGTTTGTTGGAAGGAAGAAATACCGAAACGGAGTCTCGGCACTGAATGCTGAGGTAGGACTGACTGAGAATGTAAAAGTCAGCCTCGCACGTAGGGTTAGATGTTGGTTCTGCTAGAGTCAACCCAGTCATTTCAGAGGCACCAGAATTTGAGCTAAAAAACCCCCCAAAACCTGATGAGAAGCCAGAGTTATAAAGTTACGTGGGCGGTTGGGAGTAGCTGGGTAGAGTTAAGCAGTCGGCAGCACAGGACCCAGTGCTTAGATGTCATATGTAGATGTCATATGTATATGACAGACCACGGAGCGCTTCTTGTGATGATCTTTCCGTGGCGTAGCAGCATGCGTCCAGACAGATAGGAACCAGGCGATTAGAAGGTTGAGCAAATCTCAACGCAGCTGTGGGATGGTTTTCAGGTGAAGGGATGCTGGTGTAGTGGCAGAGGGTGAGCACAGCTTCGGCGCAACACCAAGGCTGGATGTGCACTGCACCGGGAGGGAGGAAGAGGAAAGACCGAGTCACCTGTGAGCAGCACGAGGCCCGAGAGGTGTGGCAAAAGCTGGCTCAGAAATGCTCCCGGCGTCTGCCAGGAGCTGCAGCGAGTCCTCTTGGGATTTCACACTCGCTGAAGTTACTGTGAGTAGAGTCACGGGGTTTGCTTTTGGAGATAAAAAGGCACACGTTTACAAAGAGTTCGGGAAGAAAATGGAGCAGAGACAGGCAGCTCACCTGGTGACAGCGTTATCATGAACATGAGCCGGCAGTGTGCCCAGGTGGCCAAGAAGGCCAACGGCATCCTGGCCTGTATCAGAAACAGTGTGGCCAGCAGGAGGAGGGAGGTGATCGTGCCCCTGTACTCGGCCCTGGTGAGGCCGCACCTCGAATCCTGTGTTCAGTTTTGGGCCCCTCACTCCAAGAAGGACATTGAGGTGCTGGAGCGTGTCCAGAGAAGGGCAACGAAGCTGGTGAAGGGCCTGGAGCACAAGTCTGATGAGGAGCGGCTGAGGGAACTGGGGCTGTTTAGCCTGGAGAAGAGGAGGCTGAGGGGAGACCTCATCGCGCTCTACAACTACCTGAAGGGAGGTTGTAGCGAGGTGGGGGTTGGTCTCTTCTCCCAAGTAACCAGCGATAGGACGAGAGGAAATGGCCTCAAGTTGCACCAAGGGAGGTTTAGACTGGACATTAGGAAAAATTTCTTCACTGAAAGAGTGGTCAGGCCTTGGAACAGGCTGCCCAGGGAAGTGGAGTCACCACCCCTGGAAGTATTTAAAAGACGTGTAGATGAGGCGCTTCGGGACATGGTTTAGTGGGCATGGTGTTGTTGGGTTGACGGTTGGACTCGATGATCTTAGAGGTCTTTTCCAACCTTAATGATTCTATGATTCTATGATTCTATGATCATCATTTTTTGAAAACTGGGCTTGCCTGAAGTCCTATAAATATATTCCAGCAGAGGATGAGCAACAGGTAATAGCAGCAATTAAGCTCAAGGAGAGAGTAGATTAGAAAGACATGGGTCAGAGGTGCAAGTGATTTGCTTGAGCTGAGAAATCAAGGCAGAAATATGACCTCGGAAACCCGAGAAAGACGTGGAGAGCGACTGACACATCCCTCCTAAAGCAAACACAGCAGCCGTTGGATAAATCCGAGACCTGCTGCGTGATGCCCGGAAGAGGAGAAGTGGGTCCCACCAGCCGAGCCGGGATGGGGAAAGTCGCTGCACTCATCACGGTGTGATAAATCCGGGTTTTAAATACCGCCTCTGATTACGATGATAGAAATGCATCCCACTAACAGCATCCCTGTCTGCACGACACCCGCTGTTTTCTGCTGGCTGCAATGAGAAACTGTAGCAAAATTAGGCCATTTGTATTGGTATTTAGGCAAATAAATTAGTTACCTGTGTTCTCTTTAATCTAGTAGTGCAAGGACTAATTTAGTTAGGTATTGCATATGGATTCACAAAGAGTTGCCGTGAAACACAGCAGAATAATTATCACGTCTCTCCTAAACTTTCTCCAGTCTTTTTTTTCCCCTACGTCTCAACTTTATTTGGACCCTGATTGTGCAGGACCACACGCAAACTCCACGTTGCCCCCTAAGAGGAAATGCCATTAATTGTACAGGAGGCTCAGGGTGGAGAGTTAATCCTGGGCACAGACTTTGCAGCCTCAAGTCCACAGACTTGAGGAGGCCTTGTCCCACCAAGGCTTCCATGAAAATACGAAAGAAAAGCAAAACTAAAAGCTGTGACGTATAAAATGTTGAACGTGGAAAATTTAACCCATTTAGCGCTTGCTAGCACAAACATCTTGATGATGGCTATCGTGGAAAATGGTCTGAAAAATGACTGCTTTCTCTGAATCCTACATACGGAGCAGTAAAACGATCATCAGAAATTATTTCCTTTAAGTATACATTATTACTGTAGGCTGTGGCGCAGTGTGTAGGCAGCTGTCTCGCTGTAGGAAAAAATACCAAGGCTGAGAGGTATCATTGAACAGTTGACAAGCAATTTCTAGGATTATATCTGGGGATTGTGGCTCCAGAAGAGAAGCATCTCTGGCTTTGTGGTTTTTTAAAAAAAAAAAAAAAAAAAAAAAGCCCAAACCGATCCAGGTAAGCTGTACCAGAGGAAATCATCACCGGTCCCATCATCATAAGCTGTTTCCTACATGGCTACCGTGGTTTCTAAAAAATAATCACAATGCAAACATGCTCGTGGAAAAAAATGAAGTTAAAAAATGTCATAGCAGGTGAAGATGTCTTGCTACGAACTCTCGTGCGGCTGGTGGATACCCCGAGCCCGGGGCATCGTGTTTCCACTGCCGCAGGGGATGTCGCTTCGGGTCGGGAGATGACTTGGTCTTGAACATCGGGGCTGGTGTTGGGGTGGGCTTGCGGGGATTTCTCCACCGGTCCGCACACCTGACCGCCGGCAGCTGGGTTGGAGACTACCGGTTTGTTGTTGGAGGCCATGGGAGAGATGCCCGGCAGTGACTCGCTCCATCCCCTCGTTAGTAAAACTGGGCATGAAACGTGGGGGGAAGACACAATGCAGCCTCTTGTATCGCATTTAAAGAGTGCCGTTAGAGATAGGAGGGGTTGCTAACCGAAATGTATGCAAGGGCAGAATTATTAGGCTAAAACTCATTAGCAAAGTGGATTGCTCTTAATGACTCTATTGCTTTTTCTCTAACAAAATAAGAAAGGGACAAAAATTAGCACAGTATACAATTCTTTAGTGCCGCCTCCCGGCATTTTCTTCCCATCCTTTCTGCGAGCGCTGTAAACAAAACCAGATTGATGAAAAGGGTTCCCACCGCGGAGCCAGGCTAACGTTTCCCCCTCTGAAAGGGGCCACTGTGTCCCGCAAGCTCTTTCAGCCGTCGCAGAAGAAAGGGCTGCTTGGTGCGGCTCATTTCCCTCGCCCGGGCCCGCCGGCCTCCTCTTCCTCCTCTCCGCGCCAGGGCGGCAGCGCGAGGGCGCCGGTGCCAAGCTGCGGAGCCGTGGCGGAAGAAGCATCTCCCGAGCTCCCTCCTCTCCCTCGGCAAGTCCGCCGGCCGCACAAAAGGCTATTGAACCGGGAAGGCTTCTGCATTCGGGCGGCGTGGGGTTTTGTTTATTGGCCTGTCACCCGCAACAATGGGGAAAAGGGCTTTTCCTGTGGTTTTCTTTTTTTTTTCCTTTTTTTTTCTTTTTTTTTCTTTTTTTTTCTTTTTTTTTCTTTTTTTTTCTTTTTTTTTCTTTTTTTTTCTTTTTTTTTCTTTTTTTTTCTTTTTTTTTCTTTTTTTTTCTTTTTTTTTCTTTTTTTTTCTTTTTTTTTCTTTTTTTTTCTTTTTTTTTCTTTTTTTTTCTTTTTTTTTCTTTTTTTTTCTTTTTTTTTTTTTTCTCTAAAAGGATGTCATCAGCCGTGATGCATGCCCTGGTAGGGGCATCGGGATGGTAGCGCTTTCTATGTGCAGCAAGGGGAGAGAGCAGGGGAATGAGCCCTTCTGGTTTGGGTACAAGTAGAAAGGAGCATAAGGCTTTTTTGGTTTTTTTAATTACCTTAAATGCACACACTTAAGGTAAGGTGTTAAGGTGTTTCTGTGGACATCTACAAAAGTTGAAGTTGGATTTTGAACCTGCAGGGGAGGAAGATGGGGTTTCTCGGGAATTGCCTGGACTTGGATGCACCATTCTCATCTTTCCCAGTGTAGTTCATTTACACTCTCAATCATTAAAACTCATTAAATAGCCCGTGCTATGAAGGGCTATTAAAGGCTAGTAACGTTCCTGTTACTAGCCGCATGCTCTGTGCCTGTGGCTCCTCTGGACGCGGGAGCCTTTAACAGCACCGATGGCCCCTGGCGCGGGAGGAGCGGGGAGCGGTGGGCCCCGGTGCTCCCTCTCGAGCGGGAGGCCAGGTGACAGCTAAAGGAATCTCCTGGAAATGCCGAGCCTGCTGATGGCTTTCACAGCTCTGACGCATGTCGGACAAAGCCTTCGTCGCCACCGGCTTAGTCTCGTGGTTTTGTCCAAGCGCATCGTGGTCCCCGGCATGGAGAAAACCGATGGATTTGGGCTTTGCTGCAAAGTATTTCTGCATTCCTTCTTTCCAAGTCAAATCTTTTATTTTAAAAAATGTATTTTTTTTTCTTTCTTTCTGGGTCAGTGATTGCTGAATTAAAGTTAGGGCTGATTAGTCTCTTGGGGTTTTTTTAACATACTAATAAAACCCTTTTACTAATATATTGGGCCATAGAGAGCTGTTAAAGCACCGCACATCCCTGGGTGTGGGCCCTCCAGCAAAGCGAGCTCCGCAATCCCAGCATCATCGGTGGGATTTTAATTGCAGAGATATTTTGGAGCCTTTGTTCCCAACATGTGCATCCCAAATAAATTGCTGCATCAAGAAACATCTCTCCCTTTTCTTTTTTTCCCTTTTTCCTTCCCCCCACCTCTTTCCAGATGGGACATTGACCAGTTTTGATTTGTGGGGCAACTGGGTACCCCTTGGCTTAGCAGAGTTTCACCCGTTTTACCACTGCTGAGTTGGTCTCTTCTGCTTATGGGGTGTTGTCGAGCTTTTACGCTTTATTGCAGGTCTGAGACTCTCGTGTTTCTCCTTTTCTTCTTCTTCGCCAGCCCTTTGCTCGGCTGCTGGGATTTTCCACGCAAGCACTCGGGTGATACGCCCGGCACACGAGGAATAGCCCAGAGGCTGAGATTTTCAACACTACATTCAAGACGCTTGTTTTACGCAGGATATCTTGTGTGGCGTGTGTGTTGAAAAGCTCAGCTCCGGCTGTTGCCCTGTAGAGAAATGAGGACGTCGGGTTCTCTTCTTGCCGCTCTGCGAGAAACAGCTACTGAGGGACGGGACATGTCCTCTCCAGACCTTCCCGAGAGTGATACCTAGATAGATGCTGCTGCTGCAAGTCTTGCGTTTGGGATGAGATATAAGGCGTAACACGGCTGGTCTGTGTTTCGTAAAGCTTAGCCTGTTTTCTCCCATTGTGCAAGTGTCGTTTCAATACGAATAGTATCTTTTGCTCTTACGTTAAACTCTTGCCGAGGTTATCAATCAGATGCGGTATTCTTGTTCACAGCAGCTGGCTTGCGTTGCTCGTAGGATTACGTGCTTCGTTCCTTTTGCCTCGGAGATTATGTCTTCACGACGCATCTATAGGGTTGTGTCCATCAAGGTGTATCTTTACATAAAATAGTTTTGTAAATTGGTTTATTGGACCCCCCCCGGAGTTCAATGTAGGGGATGAAATGTATGAGATTAACAGTGGCAGAAAGGGAAGGGTCTCCTATCCTGGTTTCACACAAACCTTCCAGAAACGGTTGGAGGAGTTGTGCAAACTCCGTTCCCTATTTTTAAGGTTTCTACCCATCTCTGAACTTAAATCTCCTAAGTCTAGAGAACTGATACGAATTATTAGTAAGTGCTCCTTGATTTATATCTTTCCTGTCTTCACGTCGTCATTTACAAACCGTCTGGCTTTTCTCCTTCCAGGGTCGTGATTATTGTTCAGAAGAGGAGGATGTCACATAGTGCCAATTCTGCCACTCGCACCAGGAGTACTACTGTGTAAATAGATTACAACCCAGTCGAGACCTTTTGGAAGTCTTCTAGAGCGAACAGCACTACATAACAGAAGAAGATCATTTCCACATTATATGCTCCATTCAGTTACAGTGTTTCTTAATGAACAGATGAGGAATATTGCTAAGAACTCGTAAGGAACTGTTTTTGTTGCTGCTAGTTAAAACTTGTTGCAACTTCTCACTTTTTTCTGTGTCCAGATACGCAGCAAATCCTTAAAGTTAATCCAAAAGACGTTGTTGATTTTATTGAGGCTTCTGGCCTGTTTTCTATCAGATGAGGTAGTGTTATACAAAGCTTCCATAAGTGAACATTCAAGCATCTAAGAAACACCCTTAAGCTGTCTGTCAGTCCGCGTTCGGGCCGGAGTGCTTATTAATGCTGGTGATTTCGAGCTTTGGAGATGGGATGTTTTTGCCATGGCAGGCCTTGTTTCTCTGCTGAGAAGAAGCTGAGAAACTATTATCCATTAAAAGCATGTTATCACTGAAATACTGGAAGTGATGCAGGAGCAGGAATTTGTATTTTAAGAGGAAAAAGAGTTTCATTTAATAGGTATCTTAATCAAGGACTAAGCTTGCAGTATTGGCTTTGCTGAGCACGAATGGGAGTGTGATCACAATCATTTTGAATCTCTTTTTTTCTAAGAAAATAAACATTTTACTGTTTTTATGTATTCTTGTCTTTTACCATTCCTACAACGCAATGTTTTAAGGGTCTGGGGACAAGGAAGGCAAAACCAGCCCTCCGCGTTGATGAGTTTGTGGATCTAATCTCTTAAAGCAGCTCTGTGCCAACTTGGGGTAGCTGTTGCGTGTCCTGTAGAGTTTATTTTTCCATATTATACGGAGAGGATATTACCTTCGCAAAAGCAGATGTAATATTTTTAACAAATGCTGTCATGAGTAAAAAAAAAAAAAAAAACATAAGGAAAAAAAAAATACACCTTTTGTATTTATTATTTCAAAGGAGGTTGTTACCTGCGCTGATATTTCTTCCTGCTTTGACACCATATGAGGGCCAGGTTTGCACTGCATCCCATGGAGAAACTTTGTCAGGACGTAGGTTTCTCTATTGTGTTGGTTTCATCTCTCCGATGTGTGTGATGTCTGGGGAATAGACCATGAGGCTGCATTAATAGCATCTTTTGCTGATGTGGCCGACACTTGAGTGGGGCACTCAGCCCAAAGCCCTTTAGCATTGGCCATTTTTCAGTGGACCTTCTGAAAATCAGATCCCTTTAAAGGGTTTCAAGTCCCTCAAAAGTCACCTGTGACTTCTGAAAAATCTCTCAAAATATTAGGGAATTTCTTTACTAAAGAGATTTCTTCCAGTGTTGGCTCTGAGTGGGGTTGGACAGTCCACATCAGAAGATTTTGTTCCCTATCAGTGCTGTGCCATACCTAGAATATATCAAAAAAAGCGCAACTTCCTCATGCTTCCGCCCCTGCACAGGATTTTCCTTTGGCTTTCGGGCAGTGGGGCTGGGGAGAGGGACCCGGGAGTTAGTCATATTCGTGCAGGACTGGATGTGGGCACCTCCAGCAAGAGCTTTCCAAGCAGGGTTTGTGAGGCTGCAGTATCAAGCTGTCTTTGTAAGGTAGAAGCTATTTCTGAAAGCTGCAAACTGCTTGGTCCCCTCGTCTCCTGTCAACCTCGGTTGGAGTTGAGTGGTTGCTGTCTTGCAGGATTGGGACAACTCAAGCGCTACCTAGCTTCAGTAGCTTTCCATAGAACAGCTCAGTGACAGGGTCCTCTCTGCCATGTTTCACTACGTGCATCTTTATCCTGTTGATGGTCAAAAATTGCCGGCCAATTCTGATTTTCTTAAATCCTGGCTGCATTTTGGCAGCTGCTTTGGCCACGCAGCTCTTCCCTAGCATCCCGACCTCCCTGGAGATGAGATTTCACCACCTTCCTCCCATCACATCATCCTTAGGGCTGTTGGCATCTCTCGGTGCTACGGAGCCATTTGATCTGTTACAAATTCTTCAAGGTGATAACTCTGTCCTCTTGCACATGATTTTTCTTCCCTAATTTATGTCAGTTCTCGAGCAGGTAGCCACGCTAAAGAGAGTCAAGAGACTGCTCATTTCAATTATTTAAACACTTTAATTAAGAGTCCTGGGGCTTGATCCCGCAAACCCTTCTCTCGAAGTGCTTTATAAAGCTTTCGCAGGTAGTACAAGAGTGATGGAATTGGGTCTGTCCTTTTGAAACGTGGTTCATTTTCTAGATGCTGAACGTCTCGTGCTTAAATTTCCCCATACCAACCCTGTGTTACAGACACATCCTTTCCATACACCAGCCTCCTTTTACATGGAGTTTCTTTCAGCCACCGATTAGTTGTATTTTTTTTTTCTAATTTCCTTGCCAGTGATGATGGCACCAAAAGCATGGGCTTTGGTGGAAGCTTTGTGAAAGAGGAAAAGCAATTCCCATCTTACCTGTGCACTTACTGTGACCGGCAGCAAGTGCTTTAGTCTTCTGTATAAATTATAACCTCACTGATGGACCTTTAGATGACAGTATTTGTGACTTGTCCTGCTGCTGGTTGTGGAGGCATGAGGATGGGCAGGAGGTTTGGAGGGCATCAGTAGTTGTCTTTGGAGTTGACGTGCTCCAGGACTGCCCCAGGCTGCTGGTGGGATTGGGGTGGGGACGACAGACTGCAATTTGCTCTACCCTTCTACGAGAAACACGAACAGAATTGAGGTTGATTTTTTTGGGGAGCGGTGATTTGCCTAGTCACATCAAGTCAGCAAATCCTTGGCCATGGCACGGCATGCTGCCGTCACCATGTACCAAGCAGAACCCAGGAGCTTCTTGGGCAGGCAGGAGACTTGCTCTTGAACTCTTTGTGATATGGAAAAGCAATGATCAGCGCTGGTTACCTATTACAAGGAGCCATGCTTATGGAAACAAAACTTAGAGCAGAAACCTTTTTCTAGTCTTGAATGTCTGAAGTCTGTGAAATACAAGATGGTTTCTAAGCACTTCAGGCTTTGGGTTGACATCCTTCTCTCCACACCTCAGCCACTACGAGCGGTCTGCTTTGCTTGTTGAAGCAGGATAGCCATCTCCTCAAGCCTTGAGCAGCAACTTGCTGCAAAAACACGTCCAGAGCAAGTGCAGGGACCTGACTGCAGCCGTGTAGCATTTGGGAAAGGGGCAGGAGCAACCGAACCGCCGTGTAAGAAGTTGCACGTGCCGCAAGCAGACCCACGAGGTCGCGCAGCTTTCTAACCTGCTTTATTTCTTCCACCTTGGCACAGTCCTAGCAAATTTTGTTAAAAGGCTAAATATACGCGGCAGCTGAGGATCTATAAAAGTATAAGCAGATTACTGTAGCTTAAAATGCATCGCTCCTTGAAGCCATACCTCCACGTTATTTTACTCTGCTCAAATATATTCAGCGGGATGGAAAAGAGGAGGATGGGAAGAGAAGGAAAACTGCTTGTATCTGATATGCTGTGCTTAGTTGTAAATGGGTTTTTCAAGGTTTCTTTTAAAAGAAATACCGAGAAAATTATTTGGAGCCAAACTTCTCTTTAGGAGGCTGGCGCACTATTTAATAAGCTCCAAGTCATATTCTGGGATCTTGGAGAAAATTGTGGCGAAGGGGTTTTGCAATCAACTTCTTCCCTTGACGTGCTTTTTCCTTCCACTTTCCCCCCCCCCCCTCCTCGGACCATGCCCCCAGCGTTAGCCCGGGGCCAGAGCTTTTCCTTCCCCTTTTCCCCCCCCCCGCTCCTCGGAGCCTGCCCCAAGCGTTAGCCCCGGGCAAGAGCGAGGAGAAGAGCCGGGGAGCAGGAAGAGTTGCCCAAGAGGCCGGCACCCGTCCCTGGATCCAACCTCGTGCCGCAGCCGGCACGTGCAGAAGCCTCCCAAATACCAACCCAAGGGACCCACATCCCAAGGGACCCGCGTCCTTCCAAGGGCTGCCTGGATGGGTGCTCCGTCCCAGACGGGCACGAAGCCAACGCACCAGAGCTGCGCGGCATCATCGTCCTTCCCCTAACGAGCGGGGCTTGCTGAGGGCTGCCGAGATGGAACGTTGGTGCTCTCGGGGCGATTTGGGCGCAGTTTGATGCGGTGCTTGTAGGACGTGTTCGTCCTGGAGAGGGACTCCTGGGGGGAAAAAAACCCTGTTTATTGGCTGTCATCTGACGCTAATTTTTGTCTCCATCACTAGTACCTAGGGATAGGGACACATTTTGTCTAGTTTCATGAGGATGTGGCAACGTCTCCTTCAGCCGCTGCCCGTCTCTGTGTTGTATCTATTGCAACACATCCGCTTTGACCTAAAAAGCTGATGCCTTCATTTTTTTAATTATTGTTTCTCTTCCATCTGTGCCCCCTCCCAAACCCTTCCACTCTCCGTACGGCATCACCAAGGGCGTGGGTCCGGCCGCGGTGGGCAGGCGGAGGCAGAGGCTTTACCCTCCTACCTGAAATGCGGTTGCCTGCGTTGGGACCGTTTTCTAACGCGCTTGGGTTGCGGTCGCTCTGGTCCAGGGAGGAGCTGGCTATTCTGTGTGCCCCTCTGGTTTGATTCTGTTCTGAAGGTTGGCATTTGGCTTTTTCAGGGGCGAGGGGAAATCCTGCCCTTGGATCACCAACCCTCGATGACAAGACATTGCTTTGCCTTGACGTCATCACCCTGTAACCAAGAGCAGCATTTGGCCCCAGGCATGTCTTGAGTCACAGGACCTAAATTAGACTAAAGAAGCCCAAAACCGTATTAGTGCTTTTTTTTCACCTCGGAAGGCCGTGGGTCTCTTCACATCAGTCAACTGCTGACACTTGTACTTTTTTCCCTCGGGACCCCTGGCAGGAGATGTTCTGGGCCAGCCCTCTGCCCGGATATGAGGGACCAGGAGCGGTTTCTCTCTGGTCCCAGGACTTTGAGGAAACCATCGAAGGACTTGAGCAAAGCCCCAGCCCGCCCCGTCTGGGGAAAGTGGGCAGTACCCCCTTGCAGGAGCAAGGCTGGCAGGGTTGGACGGACTTGCTGAGCTACTGCAAGGTTTTCCGTGATGTCCGCATAAATTGAGCTCTGTAGGAACCGCTAGAAAGCAGAGATTGACAAACTCTGGGCTTCTCTAAAACTTTGTGGATATTCCCACTTTACCATGAAGAACTGGGCAGGGTGTTAGAAGCTCTCTGGGCTTTTGCTGGTGTGGCCAGTGGTTTTTTAGGACGTTTTCTTGGACTCACTGACAATGCTCAGCAAATGCCCTTTTCTCTGATTATTCCTCCTAATCTCTGTTTGGACTTACCTTTTAAAAATATGCCTGGTCTGATGGACGCAGGGTCTCCTTCGACTCCCCACGAAGGACTTGTGCCTGCGGGTGTTTTGTATCCCTGGTGCTGCTGGGAGGCACGTAGATGTTACGGTATCGTGGGCGAAGAGCAGCCTGGAAACCCTCTAGGCAGCCGGAGGAGATGGACATGCAAACAGGGAAACCAGTCTGCAGACCTTGGCCAAAAAGCCCTCGAAAAGGATCATCAAAACAGCCGGTTAATTATCTGACTGCTAATACTGCTGTTTCCTGACTCCCACGAACCTTTCTCTGATACTGGCCTTCAGCCCCAAAACTGTACCACCCGAAACTTAACATTAATTTCTTCCTTTGCTTTCAGTCAGAGGGTTTTTTTTTTGGATTAAGTCTC